TGAAGTATGAGAGATGAAGTTTGGCCTCTAAGGAGCACTCTGGCTGCACTTCTTCTAAAACAGATCTATTGGTTCTTTTGTCAGCCCATTGCACTTTCAATATTCTCCTCCAACACCATAACTCAAAGGCATCAATTCTTCTACATTCTTCCTTATTCACTGTCCAGCTTTCACATATTTGGTAGCCAATATCTAAGTTCCCCTTTCCTGTCGATCCTGTGTACCAAGGGGGTGGGAATGATCCTCACTGTAGAGATTTGTCTGCTCCTTTGTCATACTGCATTCACAAACATAGGTCAAGTTCATCCACTTTTCCCCTTTACTTTACTCCTTCCCCCCCTTCTTTCTTCCTCTAGTTGTGTTCTGATCATCCAGCCATTGATGCCAGGTCAAATGGATACTATCTGCAAGTGTGGGTGTTCTTGTGCATCCCCCCTCACTTTCTGTCAGCTGGATGCTTCACACTCCACTCTAGTCCTCTGGGTCCATGTCCCTGCCCCTGGGCCCAGGAGTCCCTAGGTCTCATCATACTGCTGGTTAACCAGGTCTCAATCCAAGTTAACAGGAATCTATTGAATGTGGATGAACTTAGTTCACAACGTCATTACTGTTTTTCCCCTTATCGGTGACCAACGTGGTCAGCAGCAGGACCATATGCCTGCTAGTGTATTCCAAATGAGTTTCAGTCTTGGAAGGGGGTTTGCCTTGAGGGGACCTGATAAAGAGATCTTTTGAAGCAAATTTTCCCAATGCAATATGCCATTTGATTTCTTGATTGTTGCTTCCATGAATGTTGATTGTGGACCCAAAATAAAATTCTTGGCACCTTCAATCTTTTCTCCATTTGTCATGATATTGTTTGTTGGTCCAGTTGTGAGGATTTTTGTTTTCTTTATGATGAGATGTAATCCATACTGAAGGCTGTAGTTTTTAATCTTCATCAGTCAGTGTTTTCAGGTCCTCTTTGCTTTTAGCATGTAAGGCTGTGCAACCTGCATATTGACATTGTTAATGAGTTTTTCTCAAATCTTAATATCATATTCTCCTTCATATAATCAAGCTTCTTGGGTTATTTGATCAGCATACAGATTGAATAAATATAGTGTAAGAATACAATCCTGATGCACGTTCCACATACTGATTATTATTGAATGTTTGTCAGGGTTTTTTTCTCATTGTAACTGCCTTCCAACCTCAAGGGACCCATCTTCTGGTACTATATCAGATAATATTTTTCTGTAATCCATAGACTTTTATAGGTCAATGTTTTGAGAAGTGGATCACAAGGCCCTTCTTCTATTGCGTTTTAGATGAGAGGCTCCTCTGAAACCTGTCTGCCATGGGTGATTTTGTTGGTATTTGAAACACTGGTGCCAAACCATCCAGTATCACAGCAATATGCAAACCACCACAGTACCACAGTTTGAATATGGGAGACTCTAGAGGACCCTTAACTAAAATTTACCACATAAACTACAAGAGCCCTGGTAGCATAGTGGGTTTCAAGATGGGTTGCAAGCCACAAGGTAGGCAGTTCAAATCTTCCAGATGCTCCACAAGAGAAAGATGAGACTTTCTGTTCCTGTAAAAATTTTACAGCCTTGGGGAACTCTATGCAGGGTGACTGAGTCAGAACCAACTCCAGGCACACCACCACCACTCATATAACCTACAAGTGTTGACATTATGTCCTAAAATCACATAATTTATTTTATTTTTTTACATTTTTCCATCGATAATAAATGAGCTCTGGTAGCGTAGTGGTTATGAATTGGGCTGCAAACCTTAAGGTCAGCAGTTCGAAACTACCAGCTGTTCCGCAGGAGAAAGATGAGGCTTTCTGTTTCCGTAAAGATTTATAGCCTCGGAAACCCTGTACAGGGTCGCTATCAGTCAGAATCGACTCCACGGCACTTTACCATCATACATAGCATAGTTGTTACAAATCGGGTTGCTCTGGTAGCGTAGTGGTTATGAATTGGGCTGCAAACCTTAAGGTCGGCAGTTCAAAACTACCAGCGGTTCCGCGGGAGAAACATCAGGCGTTTTGCTCCTGTAAAGATTTATAGCCTTGGAAACCCTGTGCAAGGAAACTATGAGTCGGAACTGACTCCACATTACTTAACAACAACAATAACAACACAATAATTTTCATATTCTTTGTGGTTATGAATCGGGCTGCTAACCTCAAGGTCGACAGTTCGAAACTACCAGCTCTTCCGCGGGAGAAAGATGAGGCTTTCTGCTTCCGTAAAGATTTGCAGCCTCCGAAAGCCTGTGCAAGGTCACTATGACTCGGAACTGACTCCACGGTACTTAACAACAACATTAACACTTTTGTCGTTTTTGTTAAGTGCTGTTGAGTCCGTTTCAACTCACAGTAACCCTGTATTGGGTTTCTGAGGAGCAGTTGAGCTGCCGACCATATGGTCGAAGTCCAGTGGTTATCTTAGAGAGCCACCCCAATAGTCCATTTAAAGGCCTTGCAAGTTGTTGAGGGAGTGTTTAGAATCATGCTCTTCTTCCTGAGTAAAGGAAGTGACAGTGATGAATAAGGAAAGCCAGACAGAAAGGTTTTATATACACTGTAAACAAGATGCAACTTTTTGCATTCTCTGCAAATCATTTTGCTTTTGTGGCTAATTCATAAAGATAAACCATCATTCAGGAGATTGACTATAACTCAAGTATAAATAACAGCAAAATAGAACCAACATCTTGAAAAGAAAGAAACAGTCTTTGTAAGGAAAGGACAAAGGGGACTGGGATGAAGTAGAAATGGATTTAAAAGAATTTACACTATAGAAGTCAGTTTAGAGCTAATGTTAGGGATTGGTGCAGTCTACAATAAGAACATTTTAGCACTATGAAGATTACAATTTTTCATATGAGTTGTCTCATTTTATCCTCCTTGCTATTGTTAAATGCTGTGGAGTCAGTTCCAATTCATAGTGATCCTGTATATGGTTGCTAAGGAGTGACTAGGCCAGGTGGTTAGCAGTCCAGTGCTTATCCAACAGCACCACACCAGGATTCCTTTATTCTTCTGGTATCCCTAATATTGGCGTCTTGGTGTGGCACTGCGGGTTAATGCATGCTGCACTGCAAGGTCTGTTTGAACTGCAAGTTCGGTGGTTGAAGCTCACCAGCTGCTCCTCGGAAACCCTATACAAGGTCGCTATGAGTTGGAACAACAACACTGCTAGTATGTACTATTGTATTCATTTTGCATATGAGGACACTGGGATTTATTTTGACATATGCAAAATAGAGTAAGTGACTTGCCACTGTCAGACAGTTGGAAGTAGTGGTGTTGGAAGAAGGCTTTGAATTTCTGATTACTTTCTTTGTGTACTGTCACTCTACCATCCTGACTCATGTAGAAACTTGGAAAATAGAGCTAAGGTCTTTGTTGGGACCGGACATTGGTTGGATGCCAGTTGAGCAAAGTAGAGGAAAGATGGAACTAAGAAGGGATCCGTTTCCTCATGATGAGCATGGCCTAATGGAGTATAGAGGGTCCAAGTACAGTTAGAAGTCTAGTATCCTGCTAATCCCACAGGAAGTGGGGATTCATTTGTTCAGTTGCATCTAATGTTGGCGTGTAGCTTGGTCTTTGATCATTGTCCAGGTTTGTATACAATATACTTTTAATGATATGTATATGACCTTAGGGAATTCTTTTTGATAGCTTATTAATGAGGAAAAGCAGAGGAAAATGCCTTATTTGGGGACTCTGTGTGGGCCAGGATCTTAGGAAAGTATCATCTTTTGATGTGTAGGACAGGGCAGCAGAATTGAGAGAAATGGCAGGCAGTTTAATTCTTCATCATAGTTGATCCTTATGTTGATCCCTCTAATTACCTGGTTTTATTTTAGGGAAATTAAATCTATTATCCACTAAAGACTTAAAGATCCCAATACTTTCCCCTTTCTTTATTAACAATGTTCTCTAATCTTGCATTTATATTGGTTTGGTGACCTTGGTTTAAGTCACTTACCGTATGTGAAACCTCACCCTGTTTAACTCACAGGAGATACTGAGTCACAACACTTGCAAAAGTGTTTTCCATCTTTGCATATGTTTGTTGGCCATGTATGTCCTCTTGGTGAAATGCCTGTTCAGGCTTTTAGCTCTCTCTCTTTTTTTTTTTGATTATTTGTCTTTTTGGTTGTTGTTAAGGAGTTCTTTATGTTTGCTGTTTGTCATTATTTTTGTTAAGTGAAAAATTAAAATGGACACTAGCAAATGTAGGTGAGGATGTGAAGAAATAGATATTCTCAACTATTGCTGCTGGAAATGCAAACTGGTACAGCCATTGTAGAAGAGAGTGTGATAGTTCCAAAAGTTAAAACAGATGGGTCATATAAGCCAACAATCCCATCCTTAGGTATATATCTAAGAATTGAAAGTCACAGGTAAATAGACACACGTTCAATGCAGTGCAGTAGCAAAATGGTGAAAACAACCCAATTGCCCATCCACAAATGAACGGATAAACAAAATATAATATATACTTATACAGACAATGTAGTATTGCTTAGCCATAAAGAGGAAGGTAGTTCTGATACGGTCCATGACTCAGATGGACTTTGAAAACATTGTGCTGAGTGAAGTAAATCAATCACAAAAGGAACTATATGATCTCACTGTGAAATACCTAGAATGGTTAAATATATAGAACTTAGATTTTAATAGTGGTTATCAGAGGCAGGCGGCAGAGAGAAAGGCAGATTAAATGTTTAGAAAGCTGTAAGTTTCTGTTTATGTTAATGATTGTACAACATGTTTGATGTAATTGGTGCCACTGAATTTTATTTGTGAAAAATGTTGAATAGGCAAAATTTGTGTTAGCTATATTTCAACAACAATAAAAATAAAAAGTAATTGAAAATAAAGTATTTTTAACAGAAAATACTTTGCGTTTGTAGTTACTGACTGTTTCAAAAGATTCGAAAGGCCTACTATTTTACATTAAATGCTTCTGCTTTTCCTTCAGAGTCGAAAACATGCCAGCAAAGTCCGACTGTATTACATGCTTCACCCCAGGGATGGTGGGTGTCCTGCCAAGAGGCTCCGGTCAGAAAATGTGAGTAGCTAGCACTGTGTGGTATTTTTAGATGGTTTATTCTGTTGCACTACTAAGAACCAATTTAATAGCACTTAACTACAACAAGGATAACTGAGAAATTAGCAGATCTAGAAATTGATGTCATACTTAGATTAGTAGAGAAGCGGAGTAGAAATAGAGATAAACATTCCTTAGAATAATCAACCATGTTAGGTCATAAGAGCAGCGTTTGTCCAAGAAGAAAGGTCAGAAGGCACGAAGGAATAGGAAAGAAGCAGGAATGGAAGAGGTAAACATAGGAAGCAGAAAGGGACCTGCTACATTGTGGGGGTTACAATCAATGTCATAAAACAAAATGTACAAGTTGTTGAATAGAAAACCAATTTGCTATCAGATGCTTAAAAAAAGAGAGAGAACAATGAATGGGAAAAAATATTACACATAAAGTCATCTTTTTCTTTTTCTTGCCAGAACTTGTTAACATAGTTGTTGTTAAGTGCCATCGAGTTGGTTCCAACTCATAGTGACTGTGTATAGGGTTTCTGAGGCTTTAAGTCTCGGGAGCAGAAAGCCAGATTTTTTCAATTATCTTTCACTAGGAAATGGTGTGCAGATGTGCTGGGAGGGAGAGGAGAGAGGATGGGAGAAGGGAGAACAGGAGCTCTCAGAAGACAATGTATTGGGGAGGCAGGAACTGTGGGATCACACTGTCAAATTATTAGACATTTTATTTTTTTGCACATTTTAGTTTTCCTTTGGCCTGTAAACCAGAACATGGTTTGTTAATTTATAATGAAGGGTGTACATAGCTTTTAAATGAAAAGGACTCAAACTTTTTCATCAGTGACACCTCTTTGAGTGATCTTTTACTCAGAAAGACAATTACCAATTAGAATGTTGCTTAGAAGGTGAGGAGTCAGAGCCAAGGGTTGATTTCAGCCAGGCTGAGGCAAAGACTGATGAAATAAATATTCCTTGCTCCCAGCAGGGGTTATTGTTTCCAGTGTGTGGAATATTCATATAACCAGCTGCAAAGCTCTTCATGATAAACACTGCGGATTAACACAGAAATCCTTGCCCTTTGAGTTACAAGCGGGCTCGGGGTGTAGAATTTATACCCCATGCTCTCACATGTCTTTATGATTCTGCTTTCCTTCTGCCTCCATGTAGATGCAAGTCTTCTTTTCTTATTAAAAATTAGCATATACAAAACCTTGACTTGATTTTTCCACTGGGAAAAAGGGAGCGAGTAAGAGAACTGCATGTGCCCAATGGTGTAGTGACCATCAGGGCAGAGGTTTTTAAGGAAGTCCCTGTATGCTTAGCATCACAAAAGGAACCATTCATACAGACTAATTTGGAACACTAGTGGACCTTTCCGTACCACCTTGGTGAGGCTGCTTGTAGAGTAATTGGAGGTGAATGATGTCATGAAAGCTTTACAAATTGCTAAGGTTTCAGTTTTGAGTATAGCTGTTTTGTAGGAGCTTTGTGACCTTCAGCAAATAAATAAACACCTTGAGCCTCAGTTTCATTTACCAGGCTCTAGCAATCATGCTTGCCTCACTGGGTTTTTGCAAAGACTAAATGAGATGATAGATATGAAGTTACTATTATGAAGTCCTGTTGTGGCTCTGTAGGATTAGCATGAGACTACTGACCACAGGGCATCGGTTCAAACTCACCAGCTGCTCTCAGGGGTGCTATGTGTAAGAACTGACTTACATGATGACACTTAACAGTAACAATGACATTTTGTGCCAGACATTGTGAGAGCACATATAAATAGGACATAGAACTTACCATCAAACATAAAAACAAACAAAAAACTCATAGTACAAGGGGGCTTTCAAAAGTTCATGGATTTAGTAGGGGGGTTAATAATGCACACACAAAAATTAGCAAGGATCCTGCAGTGTAAGTAATTATTAGCATTCTGCACAAAGTACCATGGAAACAAACAGATAAGTGAGTCATGCTGGGGACTCTATGAGGAAAGGCATTGCTGAAGTGCTGGCACTTGGATTGGGGTCTTCAGAGGTAAATGGACTCTGCCTGGTGTGGATGGTGGAGTGGGGAAGGAGGATGCCAATTTATTGGATGCATTCATATCAAAAGATTCTATTGTGTGACCAGAGAGTTGCCCTAAACCAGCATTTATATAATCTGATCAATCTAAAGCTACATTGCAATCGCACTTGCAGATTATTAGAGTTAGTTGTGTTCTTTTTTTCTTCCTGAAGTTATCTAATGGTGGTGCCTGTGTTTATTTGTTTAATAGCCATTTACTGTCTTATCCTAATGGTCAGAAATAATAAAGTTCATGGCTAATCAGTAATTAACTATCTGGATACAGTTTATGTTCTACTCACTCACATTATAATCATGATGGTTACACTATTTTTGAACCCTGGTGGTGCTACAGAATAAACACCAGACTACTAACAGCAAGGTTAGTAGTTCAAACCCACCAGCCACTCCTTACAAGAGAGATGAGGTTGTCTGCACCTGTAAAGGTTTATAGCCTCAGAAATCCTATACAGGGTTGCAATCCTGGGCCAACCTCACTACTGCTGCCACACTTGACACCATCAATGATGCCACCTGGCCTATCCTTCTCGTTGGGGGTCTTCCTCTTTTTCTCTGACCCTCTATCTTACCCAGCATGCCATCCTTCTCCAGCAACTGTTCCCTCCTGACACTGTAGGTATAACAAAACAAAAGACGTCCATGTCCTGCACCACCCTGACAATTGTTACTATGTTTGTTATTGCCACTGTGGCGATTCATCTCTTTGGGGTCTTCCTCTCTTTCACTGACACTCCACTTTTCCAACCATGATATCTCCCATGATTCTCCAGGGAGTGATACCCAATGACAACATATCCAAAATGAGAGAGACTAAGACTCAACATTCTAGCTTCAAAGGAGCATTCTGGTTTTACATTTCCCAAGGCAAATACATTTAATCTTCTGGCAGTTGACAGTCTTCAATATATTTCACTAGTCCCATAATTCAAATGCATCAATTCTTTTATGGTCTTCCTTATTCATTGTCAAACTTTCACATGCATATGAGGCAATTGAAAATACCTTGGTTTGGATCAAGCGTAACTTAATGACCAAACTGATATTTTTACTCTTGAACACTTTTAATAGGTCTTTGTAGCAGATTTGCCTATTACAATAAGCCATTTGATTTCTTAAGTGCTACTTCTATGACAGTTAGTTAGGGATCTAAGCAATATGAAGTCTTTGACAACACCAACCTTTTTTCCAGTTATCATGATGTTACTTATTGTACAATGATGATGATTTTTGTTTTCTTCTCCTTGAGTTGCAATCCATACTAAAGGCCAACTCCATAGGTATGTGATCTTCATCAGTAAGTACTCAAAGTACTCCTTGATATGACACTGTAGGACAAGGACTTGCAAAATAAAGGAAACATGACCAAGTGGGTTTCATAAAAGGGATGCAAGGATGGTTCAACATTAGAAAAACAATCAAGGTATTCCACCATATATATAAGAAAAAGGAAAAGAACCACATGATCATATCCATTGTTGCAGAAAAGACATTTGACAAAATCCAACATCCATTCCTGATAAAAACACTCAACAAAGTAGGAATTGAAGGGAAATTCTTCAACATAATCAAGAGCATATATACAAAACCAACAGCCAACATCACTCTCAATAGACAGAAACTGAAAGCCTTCCCTCCGCGAACAGGAACCAGACAGGATGCCCTTTGTCACCAATCCTATCCAATACTGTGCTGGAAGTCTTAGCTAGAGCAATATGGCAAGATAGGGAAATTAAAGGCATCCAAATTAGCAAAGAGGAAATCAAATTCTCTCTATTTGCAAATGATATGATCCTATACATACAAAACCTTAAAGACTCAGTGAAAAAGCTACTAGACATCTTTGGAAGATTCAGCAAAGTGGCAGGGTATAAGATCAACATACAAAAATCAGTTGGATTCCTCTGCAGTAACAACGACAGCACTGAAAGGGACATTAGGAAAGCAATACAATTTATAATGGCCACCCAAAGACTGAAATATCTTGGAATAAATGTAACCATAGAAACAAAGGACCTACACAAAGAAAATTACAAAACACTACTACAAGAAATCAAAAGAGACTTACAAAAGTGGAAAAGCATACCATGTACCTGGCTAGGAAGACTCAACATCATGAAAATGTCAATACTACCGAAATCAATTTATACATATAATGCAATCTTAATCCAGATTCCAGTGATATTCTTCAAAGAGATGCAAAAGACAATTACAAACTTTATATGGAAAGTAAAGAGACCCATGATAAACAAAAGTACTGCTTGAGAAGAACAAGGTTGGAAGCCTCTCAATCCCTGATTTCAAAACCTATTACATGGCTATGGTGATCAAAACAGCCTGGTACTGGTACAGTGAAAGATACATTGATTAATAGAACAGAATTGAGAATCTAGAAATTAACCCATCCACATACAGCCAACTGATTTTTGGACAAAGTGCCTAGGTATATTGCATGGGGAGGAGATAGTTTCTTCAACAGATGGTGCTGGCAGAACTGGAACGCAATATGCAAAAGATTGAAACAAGACCTTTACCTCACGCACTATACAAAAACGAACTGAGCATGGATTAAAGACCTCAATGTGAAAAATAGGGATAAATGTAAGGGCTCTAATGCAGGGAATACACAAACTATCAAACATTTTGAATATTACACAAATAAAAGTAGACAAAATATATGATTGGGACATATTAAAAATTAAAAACTTATGTGCATCAAAAGACTTCATCAAAAGAGTAAAAGGGAACCCAAAGAATAGGAAAAAATCTTTTGCAATTACACATCAGAAAAGGGACTCATTTTAAAAATATATAGGCAATTTACAACACCGCTACAAGAAAAAGACAAATAACCCAATTAAAAAATGGGCACAGGACATGAACAAACACTTCACCAAGGAAGAGATCCGGGCAGCCAACAAACATATGAA